TGAAAGGCAAGGTTCTGCTGAGTTTCCTTGCCTGTACATATGATAAAATCCTTTAAGAGCTCTTCAGTTCAAAACTTACCCTACAACTCCCTCAGTAAAACCTGGAGCTCTCTGAAGTGCTCTCGGAGACTTTGTGTGCCAGAACCATTTGAGAGGGGCCCAGACCTACTGGGCAAAAACACGTACAAAGGACACAATGACCTGGCATTTTCTCATTTTGTGAGATGTCACAGTTCCTGGCAAGACTGGGCCTTTAAAACCCTGTGTGAATTTTTTATAGTCGAATGAGATTTTGGTGAGGTCATCTCTGGAACATCTAGGGATAGCCATGATAACGGGTCAACCCTAGAGCCAATCTGTACAACCTCCAGGCATAGAGTATACTTCCTGTATTTCCTTAGGTGTTTGGAGCTGGCTGGTGTTAGGGTTACTTCCCTTACCTTTCCTATCAGGAGGCTGTTGAATGTACTAGTTAGGTATCCAGGTTCTGGAGTCAGACTACCTAGAATCGAATTCTAGCTTTACTACGTATTATCCATATAACCTCGGGTGAGTTTCGTAACTTCGATGCTTCAGTTTTTCCGTCTCTAACATATGGAAATAATGATTCCCACTTCATATGGTCGTTGTGAGGACTAAATCAGGTAATGCGTACGTAGTGCTAGAACAGTGCCTGTGTTATATCTGCGGTGTACCAGTGTATGGTGGTGACAACCTGTCAGAGCCAAGATGGGAGTATCAAAGGCAAAATCAGTACAAAAGCTGGATGATGGGAAAATGGCTTCAGGACATCCTTGGACAGAGGGAGGATGAATATAATAAGTAAGAAGCTTGCGTGAGGCGAGTATAGTGGTCCCAGCCCTTGAGCAAAACTGAGGTCAAAATCAACAGGAAAGAAGGCACAGAGCTAAGGTGGTTACATGGAAAAAAAAAAAAAAGTTTTATCCTCAGTAGTAGTCAGATAAAAGCAAATGAAGAAGAAGAAGAAAGAAAGAAAAAAAAAGTAAATGAAGATCGTGAAATCCCATAGAGTGGCAATGTTAAATTGAAAATAACTAAAACCTGTTCTGGGAGAAGTGTAGGAAACAGATTTAGACACACATTGCTAACAGAAGTATCGGTTGATTTAGCTTTTCAGGAGACCTAATTGGCCATGTAAATATACAGACCCTGATTCTGCTTTTAGGTCTTTACCCTATTGAAAAAGAATTTAAATTCACATCAGGAAGAACCTAAATTAATTAAGACCCATCCAACTTCATTGAAGTTGAAAATCATCCAGTAGCTGGCCCCATAATCTGCATGTATCTTTATATCCTTTCAGTAACTATTATGTTAGTGGAACTCTGTAGAAAGGAAGCTTCTTTAGTTATGAAGAAAAGTCGACTCAGGCTTTACTGAGAATAAGGGATCCTGAACTCTGCTTGTGTTCTTCTACTGTGATGAAATGCCTCTCTTGAGCGTTGAGAGCGTTTTTCTTGCTTTATTATATTGCTGTTGGCAAGCCCACTACTGCTGTATAATAACAGTATTGAAGTAATGCTGTTAGTTTCTTGATTTCTTAAGCTGAGTATAGAGTTTAGAGTCATAACATTTATTATTTAAATGAGAAATAGATATGGTATTTATGCAGCTAATAAAACAAAAATCAATCATAATAAGACATCTTCGCATTTCAAACTGACAAATAGTTTTTACAATTTTATTGAGTTATAATTGAAGTATAATAAACTGCACATAATGTATACAGTTTGATTAGATTTGACATATTTATATACCTGTGAACTGAACATTCCATCACCCCAAAAGATTCCTCATGCCCTTTTGCAATCTGTCACTCCCTCCATCTTCATCCCCAAGCAATCACTTAGCTGCTTTCTGTCCCTGTTTCTGTGGATAAGTGGCAAAGATTTTAAAAAGGTAATATCCAATTTTGAATTAGAAAAAAACGCACTTTCATATATTTCTGTGAGAGTGAAATCAGTACAGCCTTTTTTGGAGGGTAGTGTTAGTAAGTGTCAAAATACCTAGAATGCATATCTTGGAACTAGCAAATTCTGCTTCTAATTTAAGGAAATCATTTTTTATGTGAACAAAAATTTAATTACAAGAATGTTCAGCACTGTGTTGTTTATAATTTCAATAAATTACAAAGAAATTAGATGTCTGACAATATGGAATGTTTAAACAAGTCATAATGAAATACTATGCTTCTGAAATTAATAGTAGAAGTGTATTCTTTTGTAAACAACAACAGGATCATATGGTTTTCCTGTGTTTTAACTTTTTTTTTTTTTAAATTAATAACAACAAAAAAGTACATAGTGGGGAGAAAGAGTAAAAACCTACCTTTAAAAGCAAAATTTTAAAAGTAATTTGCTCTGGTTGGTGAGATTGTTTTTATCAGTATTTTTTTTCAATGTTTTCTTATTAAAAAATTATTGAAATTCCTTCCTGGTTATAAAACTAATATGTTAATGTAGAGAGTTTGAAAACTACACAAGAGCATAAAGAAAATCCAAAACTTATTTTAAGCTATTTAGATTACTGGAAAAATAAGAGAATTATCTAGCTATGTGAGATCAGATTGCCAACTCAAAAGGTTGAATGGGAAGCTTCGGGGGTGGTGAGTTTAAGATAATGGTGGTGGAATAATTTGGAAAACGATAGTGTAACCTGAAGAATGTAATCAGTGTCACTGAATTGCACACGTAGAAATTGCTGAAAGGTGGCTCTTTGGCTGTATACTTTCACTAAAATAAAAAGATAAATAAAAGAAAACAAAACTCTTTTGTGCTTTAATGCCATCAGGATAAAGTCTCATTGGGACCTGGCCTTTGCCTTCCTCCAGCTTCACCTTTTATAGTTCCCCAACCTGCCCTTTATGTTCTGGTGCTAAGGACCTGCTTGAGGGTTCCTGCGACCCACACATTGCTTGTCTCTGCCTTCACTCAGCTGTCCGTCTGCCTGGGATGCTCTTCCCCCTTGGTTAACTTCTCCTCATGCCTTAAAATTTACTGTTGGTATCATCTCCTGCAAGAAGTCTTTTCTGAGCTCCTAATGCATCTCCTTCCCCACTGTACTCTAGACCCATGTCTGGTGAGGCATCCATCACATTATATATGATCTGTTTTCATTTTCCTCTTGTAACAGACTGAGCTTGACTTAGGGGCAGGACAGTATTGGTTAGCATGGTGTTTGGAACATAGCAGTAGGAGTTCTGTGTGTGTGTGTGTGTGTGCGTGTGTGTGCGTGTAATATGAACAACGGTGTGATGAGATCAAGCAGCGTGAAGTACTGGAAGAAGGCAAATGAAGTGCGTGACTGGAGTATGGGGTCTTCATCAAGAATTTAGTAGATGAGAATAGAGAGGTAAGTGGGAGCCAGATCATTAAGGGATTTGTAGGCCATCTTACAGAGTTTGGATTCTACAGTGAAAATGATAGGGATCCACTGAAAGACTTTAAATAAGAAAATTTTCTAGCCTCTAGCATATGCCAAAGTGTTAGATGCTGTTAATGTTACGTGAAAAATGCTGGGATATAAAATAAATTTAGGAAACCCTGGGTTAAACCAAGGTGAATAGTTTTATGTTCTACTGGATTCTCAGAGTTTTTACTATGCGAGTATGTATTTTTAATCCCCCAAAACGTGTGTAATTTGCTTTTTTCCGCCAAATGTATTTATCATGGTTCCCTTTTCTAAAATTTTATTTTTTTTTAATTTTACTGTAGTAAAATACATAATAACAAAAATTTTTGCGATTTTAACCATTGTTAAGTGAACAATTCAGTGACATTAATTACATTCACCATGTTGTGCACCCATTACCACTGTCTGTTTCCCAAACAATCACAGAACCCTTTTACCTGGAGAATGTGAAAGAACACAGTTTGGAAAGTAGACACTGGGGAGACTAGAAGCAGTGAAACCTTTTAGCATTTGTTGCAGTAGCCCAGGTGAGAAACAGTGAGGGCTTGTATCAGGCTAATGTTGGAGGAGGAAGGGGTGAAAGCAAGGGGATTAAGTTGCATCTCTCAGAGCACCTTCTCTAAAAGTGGTGACTTTTCAGTAATTTTTAAAGACATTATGATGATTTGAGAGTTGTTAATATTGAATCAGAAGACATTAGACAAAGCAGTGTGAAATGTGATTGGGAACATCTCTGAGACAGATGGTCGTCAAAAGGAGGTGCCCTGTTCATATGTTTAAAAGCACAGCAACTGATGGCGTAGCCCAGGCTCGCTTCTCTTGATATTAGAACCTGTCTGTGGCCTGACTTGAACTAATGGACTTAATGATGGAGGGACAAATTCTAAAAATGTTTGATGGGACATGGTAACTACTTGGTTGTGGGTGAGTCAGAGATGTTGCCAGGTTTCTAGATTAGGAACAGACAAAGACGATGGGACCATAATGAGATAGCAAGATAGGAGATGGTGCTAGTTTGGGGAAGAAGATGCTCTGTCTTTTAGACATGTTCATGACTTAGAGGTGTCTGTGGGACATCCCTGTGGAGAAGAGAGGACCAATAGGCCCTTGGATATATGGGTTTGTACCGCAGAAGATATTTGGATTGATCCAGCTTTCATTTTACCTACTGTGCCCCAGTCACATGTTGGAGGTTTCATGTCTCTTTATGAGAACATAAAATTAAATTGCAAAGTGAACACACTGCATATTCCCCATCTTCTCCCCCATTGCACTTCCGCATGTCCGTTTCTCTTCTCCCTCCATAGCTTCCCTACCACACACACAATCCACTGAAATCCTTTTGTGGATTTATTTAAACTTCAGATTTTAGGAATATTGAAGCATACATTATTCTCTAAAAAGAGGTTGCAATTGCCTCTGCAGTTGTGAGGAAGACATTTGATTAACAACGTTTCTCATTTCTTTGTTACCACACCAAGTGAAACCATTGAGTTAATAATGCTATAACATGTTTCTATTTCAATTATTTTAAGTGTACTAACAGTGGTCCTTCGTTTTATTTATAGCTCCAAAAGGAATTCTTCATTTGTCTCCTGATGTTTATCAAGAGATGGAAGCCAGCCGCCACAAAGTAATCTCTGGCACTACTCTAGGCTATTTGTCACCCAAAGATATGAACCAACCTTCAAGCTCTTTCTTCAGTATATCTCCCACATCGAATAGTTCCGCTACAATTGCAAGGGAACTCCTTATGAATGGAACATCTCCTACAGCTGAAGCCATAGGTTTAAAAGGAAGTTCTCCTACTCCCCCTTGTTCTCCAGTACAACCTTCAAAACAGCTGGAATATTTAGCAAGGATTCAAGGCTTTCAGGTATGAATCAAAAGCAAAAACAAAAAACGAAACAACCCATTAGCTCCAAATCCTTCATCTCTATCCATCAGAAGGCACATCTTTGTCTCCCGTTTTGCCCTACATGCCACTTGCATTGTAAATTAGGAACACAGAGGACAGAAGGAGGGAGCCATGCACATGCCACATTTCCCTTACTTTGAGTCTGTCCAGCAGTTCTTTGCTGTCCAGCTCTGCCTCTCACGATGTTCCTTCTTTCTTTCTCTCTCTCAAACATTTTCCATTCTCTGTTCTGTGCTGGTTGATTTTCATTGGGTACATCACTGTCTTCCACAAACAAAGGTTCTGCCTTCAGATATTTGGTATTAGTATTTAGCACTCAGTTCTCCCTCGTTTTACATTAAGGTCGAGTTTTTCTAATGATGATTCTACTCCCATAGCTGTTTCGAATTCGGCATTCCATCATCAGTAAAGATTCAGGTACAGTGTTAAGATACACCATCCTAGAGGTCCGTTACCTAAGGAGTTAATGAAACATGGCATTAGAACAATAATGGAATGCCTTCTAGTTGTTTGAGGCATAAAAATGTGGATTTGTTTTCCTGGATCGTGTTTTGGGCCATCTAGGGTAGCACCTGCCTCAGCTGGTACCAACAGGTCCATTTCACTGCACAGCCTAAACCTACCACTTAACTTGAAATGTGTGAATTTGGGGACAGGGACTTTTTTTTTTTATATGTATTCTTTGTTCCCTTTTCAGAAAAAGAAAAACAATTCTTTATGGATAGATCAAAGCTTTTCAAAGAATTGTTAACTCTAGGAAGGGGAAATGCCTGTGTCCAGATTTCTTAGTTGCCTTGAAAATCATGTACTGAACTGTAATTACGCTAGCCTGACGGAGTGGACAGCGGCGTGCTTGTGTGTAAATTGCTCCCTCAAATTTCATTGTTTCATTCTCTTTTCCATCTTAGTCTTCTTCCTTAAGACCAAAACCTGTAATTTCCTTTAGAAATGCTCTAGAAGATCTGTATTGTGTAGAATGATCATGTATTTATAAAATGTTACAAGTTTAGATTATAAAATGAGAGCAATCGTATGTTCTGGGGGTTATTTTGCATGTTTTTCTGTTGCCATCACAGAAACTTTCTAGTTCTTTCAACTCTATTGCCAGGTAGTCATTAGTGTTCTTGATTGGACTATTAACATGAAATTAAAGAAGCTATTAACGATTATTGGCTCTGTCATCTGAAATTTTAAACACTTAATTTAAAGTTACAATTTTAGGATTTGTTTTTGTTGTTTACTTTAAGAATTACAATAAATCACTGTTTAAAAAAGAGACCTTGATTTATCCAGTTGTAAGTACTAGGGAAAAAAAAAACTAATTTTTAGTTCTATCTATAGTCTGCATAAGATGAACTAGAAATAAACTTGTTATGGAAAGAAATTCGCTGCTTATTTACACATCTAGTCATTTACAAATGTCTGAGAGTAACACTGCATTTTTATAGAAACAAAGCACAAATTGCATTCAAGCTCCGAATTAATTCTTGCTTGGAGACGTTATCATGGTAGATGTAATTTTGCTGCTGCCAGAAGAACTACTTATTTTGTTTTATTTGTTAGTTCCTGGCAATGGCAACAATTTTAATTTTAAAGCGTCTTGACTTCAGCCAAAATGTAGAATCTGCTTCCCCTGTTATTGGGTCGACTGCTTAGACCTTTTTTTTAAGCTTATGCTGAAATGATATACTCTTATTTATGGACAAATTAAACATTTCTAAATTTGTGTACTGTGATTTTACATACTAATGAATATAAACAGATGGCTTTAAAACATTACCATGAGTCTTTGGTCAAATGAGCTTAGTATTAATGTGAAATATTGTGTCACTGATGGATTGCAGCCTGCAGCTGAGCAGTGAACAGAATCCCTGTGGGAAATGGCTAGTGTCCCGTCAGGGGCAGAGCTCGGTGCTGTCGCTGTGGAAGGTTCTTTGTGGCTAAGAGTTTTACAGCCTTTTCTTTATAGATAACTTTCTGAGGTGTATTTACCTGATAGAAGAACGTGTAGATTGTTTCCATTTCTTAAATGTTTTAACGGGACTGTAGTTTAGAAATTATAGGACCAGCTTGTTATGGATTACATGCTATTCTGTTATTTTTATTTCTGGAATTTAAAAACAATAAATTCTTTCTCTGTGTTTCTAGGTTAGTACTTTTTTGTTTTGTTATTGTACTCTGAACAGATAGTATTGCTTATTGAATGTTGTGTAAACCTTTTGTTGGACTTCCGTTGCCACTGAAATTTGATTTAAGTCTACCAGAGCCATTGTATGTGACAGCTATATTGTATTACAAAGTAAAAATATATGAGTGCATTGAAAACGAAGTTGTTTTAACTTTTAAATTTTTCATTACCCAATATTTTAATTGAAATTTATAAATTGCAAAAAGCCTATTTTCTCACCAGAATGTAGGTGTTAAGCTCACACCCTTTTGTTTAAATCTGCAAAATAATTAAAATTATTATTAATAAAGCTGACTTCACAGAGCAGGATGTAACTGAACCTTTGCATATTCTTAGTAACTCTTTAATCCTTGCTTGGACTCACCTAAAGTATCTGTTGTATTTTAGAAGCACGTCTTTTGGATCTCTGTCATAAACGAGTATTTGTTTCTTTGAAGTTTTATTAAGTGCATTTTAATTATCTTTTCTGAAAACTTGAACATGCTTATTGATTGTTTTATTATTTTTTAGGGAAAAAAAAGTTTTACGTCAATAGTTCTGTGAACCTCAGACTTTGACACAACCAGTACATTTCTGTAACTTCTGCACATTTCAGAAAAACTCATTTTAAGTTATAATTATACCATAGTGTTTCAGGGTTCTTTGTCACATAACTTGATACTCTTTAATTATAGTATCAAAATATTTGAAAATTATTCAGCTTTTTGAGAAAATTATTATTATGGAAAAGACATTCTTGAAATGCTGTGCATTTCAGCAGAAATGAAGACTTTCTTCTGTTATGTTGTAATTTACATTATTCTAAGTTTTTACAGCTTTAGTATGCTTTTCCATACTAATTATATTGGAAATCATTTTGTGTAATTAAATATAAGCAGTTGTTTTGTTTAAATGAGTCGTTAGAAAAGTGATTAGATTGGAAACAAAAATGAATTATTGTAGTATTCTTTCTAGATTTGATTTTTATTTTCTCTTTTGTGCTGCTCCTGATCATCATCCATTGTAAAACCTTCAAAGTAAAATATGATAAAATAGTTTTTTTTCTCCTCATATAAAGATATAAAGAAGCACTTAGTTGGTATCTTAGATAAAGCATAATTTAGTTTATTTTACAAAATTAGGAATGTTTTACAGAGGGGTTTTCATTACTGTGAGGTTTAAATGTTGATGCCATTTGCAGCAAGATGAAAATGTCAGTAGTAGCCTTTGAAATGTCTACTTAAAAGCTTCCTTTTCAAATACAATTCAGACTTAATGCATTTCAACTGGTATGTCTCCTTTTGTGAAGTTTAATATGATTATAGCAGGCTTCTTTTATAATTACAGGCTTCTTTTGAGTATTTATTTTTAAGAATATGACCTTAGTATAGATTACATTGAGATTTTCTTCTGAGCGAGTTGGCTTCCTTAAGAATCAGTCTTTCTCCTTTCCCTACTCTTTCGTATGTCACTTAAACCCCGTATTTTGCAGTCCATAGATTTATTATCAGAGTGGCTATTTGCAGCAATTTTTTTGAAGAATGAGGTATACATTTTTTTAAAAAGGCCAATATAAGTGAAAATTCATAGATTTCTAGTAAGAGAATATGGAGAAAGAAATCAGGTGTATTCATATATACTCCCACTTAAAAATGTGGGTATTGTTTATTCATCCTTGCAACATAACTTACTATGTCACTTCTGGGCCCACATTTTCATCTATGCTGTTATAAAATGGTAGTAAAAAGGGATGAGAAATCAGAGTAAAATGAAGAAAACACACTTGTGGGTTTGACATAGGGTCAGCAGCTTCTGCTTTTACTTGCAGTTACTCCTTAAAAATCCCTCCTGGATTTCACCTCTACTACTTCCAAAGACCTGGAGAGATTGGACTGATATTTGAGCTCTCCTAAAGGCGCAGCCTTCTATTAAAAAAAAAAAAAAAATTACCATCGAGTCAATTCCGACTCATAGCCACCCTACAGGACAGAGTAGAGCTGCCCCATAGAGTTTCCAGGGAGCACCTGGCAGATTCAACTGCCGACCTTTTGGTTAGCAGCCATCACACTTAACCACTATGCCACCAGGCCTAAAACCCAGATTTCTTCCTAAAATGGGTAGCCCAAGTTCATGTGGACTGATGTGTTGTCACGGATATCCTTAGACCCTGATATGCTCAGAAGCCCCCAGGGGTATGCATACTACATATCACTTACTGTATTTCCAGGAGAGCTCATGGGATTACAGATAACTCATTTTGTTGAAATTCCAAACTCTGTAGAGAAAAATGTTACACGTTTGAAGAAAGAAATCCTGATGCATTAAAAACATACTGTGATGAGTAAAAGTAGTACAGGTAAGAATCAAGCAGGCCTTGAGTAAAACAGCCCATTACTCCTGCATAAACTATTTGGAACTAACCCCACCCTAAATCACTGCACTGTATAACCACAGGGACTCAAAAGACAAACACGCTCATCTTGAGCCTTGAGGCGCCAGGTCATACAAAGTAAGGCACGTAAAGTAGTATACAAACACACAGAGTTGTTCCTACCACAATATGTTTTATGTGGATCTGAAATGAACCACCATGGTACTGAAAAATGATTGTCATTCTGTGTCTTCTTCCCCGAGTAGAAATATAAGTAGCTTTTTTCTGTTTGTTTGTATCAGAAGAGATTTCAGGTCAACATGAAAATTCTGATATTTGGACTTATTTGCAAATGAAGTCTTTGAAGAAAAAAAATACATTTTTCATCGAAAGGTGAATTATGTTTCCTTTCACTAAAAAAATTTGGCAGTGAATGGATTTTTACTTGAAGACATGAGATCAACTGTAGTGCCCATCCGGTGCCCTCAGATGAGGCTGGCAGCTAAAGACAAATCTATCTAAAAAGACTTTTTTCACAAATGATGATAGACGAAAGTTCATGCGCATTGTTCTTTTCTCATTCAAGACGCTCTTGAGAAAGACAGCGGTATGTGGAATACTGCATGTAAAGAATTTCTGCATGCTGAATAATAAAACCACTCTACCATACCAGAGGCATGCTTCACCTAGGAGATATGTGGCAAGGAGGGAAGGGAACTGGCATTGACGGACTGTATCATTGTGTCAGTGATTGGAGTAGACATTACATACATTGTTTCATGAAGCAAACAAAAGTGCCTAGAACATTTTTGCTTAAAAATTTTTGTTATTTAAAACAAACTGTTATGTAATACTTGAACACAGATCCCTGGAAGTAGGGCTAGTTTGTGGTGGTGGTCCATGGTCTTCTGGATATTGGTTTGGTTTAGTAAAAATACCATTTAGTCAAGTATAATTTTTTACATTTTATATCATTAGTAAAAGTATGTATTTCCTATATTCACCTTTAATTCTGCCCTCAACTATATATGTAAATGAGACTGAGTGATTTAAGAATCCTGACTCTCTTGAGCTGGAAGGGGCTTTGGATTTTAAGATAAAATTTTATTACGTAAATATACATTTGAGGGACTACACGAGTAAAACATCGTGTTAGTGACATGTTTTGCTCATTTTCCCGTATGGACTTACTGGTTGATTCTGGACCCTGATAGATTTTATGTTCTGTGAACTTCTGCCGTCTTACATGGTCATATCAAAAAGCAGATTTAACCGTCAGGGAAAATGGGTATTTGAAAAATTTAATAAATGTTTTTGTCTGTAGTATTGTCATTTTTAAGTATAAGGAAGTTTCAGAATCAAGTCCTAAAGTGGAACATTTGAGAAAACAAGGGTCACGGCTTAAGAAGCTCTTACAGAGGGAAAGGTAGTGCATAGGGAGCCCTGGTGGCGCAGTGGTTAAGCACTCAGCTGCTAACCAGTGGATCGGCAGTTTGAACCCACCAGCTGTTCCTTGGGAGAAAGATGTGACAGTCTGCTTCTGTAAAGATGTACAGCCTTGGAAACCCTATGGGGCAGTTCTCCCCTGCCCTGTAGGGTTGCTGTGGGTAGGAATCAAGTTGATGGCAGTGTGTCTGGAGTTTGGGAGTTAGTACATTAAGAACAGTTTTAAGTAATTTCAGCATATATGTGAAGAATTGGATGGATATGAAGTTAATCTGGCTGTGCAGTGTCATTGAATACTGGAATTGATTCAGCTGAAGAACAGAAAATGGGACATTTGTTTAATCTGGGCAAATACTTATTAAGTGCCTACACAGGCTAGGGAGCATGCTAAGCACTGACACAGGAAGAGTTAGGGTCAAACTGGGACAGACAAGTAAATAAAACCAATATACAGAAGAAGATTAACCATCACCACAAACTAGTCCTATTTCCAGGGGCCAGTCTTCAAACATTATACAACATTTTGATAAAAATAATTAAAAACTTTTAGCATGCTATATGAAATAATATGTAATGCCTACCCCACATAGTAAGTATCATAGTAGGTGTAACCTGATTAGTGTTACACTTGAAGTGTGGTTAGTGATGTCAAGAATCATGAATGGGAATGAGTAATTCTGACTAAAGAATTACAGCAGAGGGCACATTGGAAATGGGTCATAAAGAGTATGTACAAAGAATGTTAAGACAGGTAAGAAGTAAAGCAATTACAGGCAGAAGAAGCAAGGTACAGAAGACATAAAGGGCCTGGTGCTTTAGAAAACAACAAAATGGAAACTGCGAGATGGAAGGTCTGGAAGGGAGGCTGAAAAGATGTATGTGTTTCCCTGGGAGTTTGAATTTTAGCCATTAGGCAAAGGAGGGCTACTGACTTATTTTTGAAAGGTTAGTGATGATGTGATTGGTTTTGTATTTTAGAAAGATAACTCTGGAGGCAGTGGCAAGGATGAATTAGACCAAAAAAAGAGACCTGTTAGCAGAAAGACCATTTGGAATGGTTTTACAAGAATCCAGGAGAGAAATAGCAAAGAATTGAATTACGGCAGTTAGTGACGTGGGGGGGTGGGGGTAGGGGCTAAGGTATAATTGTGTAAGGTACAGCTGAAAGGATGAAATGATCTCTTGTGCTGACGTCTGTCAGGATGCTTTTGTTAGTCTGGCCAGAGTAAAAGCTAGATTCACAGTGTCAGAGAATAAATAGAGACTATTTGAAGACTAAATAATTCTTTCAAGAATTTTGAGAGTGAAGTAAAGCAGAGAGTTAATATGAATGTGAGGTGTAATTTAAGGAAGTTTTATTTTAAGTATGGATGAGATGAATAAACTTGATGTTAAAAAGTTCCATTTTAAATATGTTGAATTTGAGTTGCCTGTGGGACATCCAAATGAAGCTGTCCAATATCCAGTTGTCAGTGGATCTGGTGATCAGCAAGAGCTAATAGGACACCCAGATGTGAGAGTCGTCAGTATGCAGATGGAATTGAAGCCATAGCAGTAGATGAAATTGACCAGGGAAAGTGGGCAAAGGCCTAGGGGAGATTCCCAATGAGTACTAACATGAAAGACTCATTTGTTTCATTCATAAGGAGCCCTGGAGGCGCAGTGGTTAAAGTGATCGACTGCTAACTGAAAGGTCTGTGGTTCGAAACCACCAGTGGCTCCACAGGAGAAAGATGTGACAGTCTGCTTCCACAGAGATTTATAGCCTTGGAAAACTTACAGGGTTGCTATGAGTTGGAATTGACTTTATGGCAGTGGGTTTGGATTTGTTCATTCATTCGGTCCATTTTTTTAAGCACTTAACCATGGCCCAGGTACCCTTTTGGCACTGGGGATATAGCATGAATAGGACCGTCAAAGTTTCTGCCCTATGGAGCTAATGTTAGATTGTGAGTGTGTATGTGTGGGGGTGAGGATGTGATTGTGTGTGGGGGAGGATGAGCAGACAATCACATCTAAACAAATAGGATAAATTCAAGCAGTGGTAAGTGTGCTGAAGTACCAAGTCCCTAAGGTAAGATTTGCTTGGCAATTAATTACGAGAGTAACTATGATTAATTATGAGAAGTATGAGCAGTGACTTAGTGTCTCCAACTCTCGTGTCTAAGGTAACGACCATATTTTAAGTGTTTTAATCAACTTCATTACAGTAATAATATGCATAAAATAAAGTACATCCATTTTCATTGTACAGTTGGATGAATTTTGAAAAATAGATACAACCGTTTAAGTACCACTACAGTCGAGTTTAGAATAGTTCCATTGCTGTAGAAGGTTCCCTTATGCCTCATTGCAGCCAATTTTCATCACCTCCCTTGTCTCCAGGCAACCACTGATACCGTTCTTCACTAAAGATTAGTTTTGCCTCTTCAAGAATTAAAGAATAAAATATAAATGAAATCATACAGGATGAACAGTTTTGTGTCTGGTCTCTTTCACTTAGTGTAATGTTTTTGGGATTTACCCAGGTTTTGTGCATTGGTAGTTGGTTCCTTCTTATTTCTAAGTACTAGTCCATTATATGGATATATACCACAGATTGTTTAACAGTTTCACTGTTGGTGAACGTTTGGGTTTGCAGTTTGGGGCTGTTGTGAATAAAGCTCTTATGAACTTCCATGTGCAAGATTTTGTGTGGACATGTTTCCAATTCTCTTAGAAAAATACCTTGGAGGGAAATTGCTGGATCATATGGTAAGTGCACATATAATTTTATAAGAAACTATTATACTCTTTTTCAATATCTTGCATCATATTATGTTCCTCCCAGCAAAGTACAAAGGTTCCGTACACTGGCATGATCAGTCCTTTTTGTGTTAGCTCTTCTAGTGACGATGCAGTGGCATCCCGTTAATATTTTAGTTTGTGTTTCTCTGATGACAGTGATATTTGCTCTTTTCATGTGCTTATGAGTATATCTTTTATAAAGTGTCTGTTTAAATCTTTTGCCCAATTTTTAATTGGGATGCTTTCTTCTTACTGAACGGTAAGAGTTCTTTATGTTGTCTGGATGCAAGTTCTTTGTACTGCAGGTATTATCTTTGTTACTGTCTTCCATTATCTTAATGATGTCTTTTG